CTGGAGAACCTGGCTTGAGAACCTAGCAAGGGAGATCCTAACCAGAACTTGGCTAGAGATCCTAACCAGAACTTGGCTGGAGATCCTGGCTAGGCTGCTGATCAACTGAACGCTTTCTCCGTGTCATTCCTTCTTCGCCGACTCCGTCCACACCTATGGGGAACCCCTGGACCTGCTGGGGTTGGACCCCAGCATATTTCCATTATTCTTGTCAAAGCTCTTAATCTTTCACTGTTTTTTACATTTATCTTTTAAAAATTTCTTTTATCTTTTTTACTAACATATTTCTACTTGGGCTCCCTGTATACATGGATAATTGCACTTTTATGCTACTTAATCATTAATTCCTTCAATAGTATTTTTTTAAAAAAAATTTAAAATAGGTTTATTTTTCCTGATAAAGTCATAGATAGATCATTAAAGTCATAGATAGATCATGAGAATTTAAACAATATAGACATCACTCTTTTTAATGACTGGATAATATTCCATTGTGTGGATGTATTAGAATATATGTTACCAAAAAAAACCCACAAAAAACACAACACACCTTAATTAGAAGATTTTTAACAATTCAAGAAAAAAATAAAAAATAAAATAATCTGATGAACAGAATAAACTGGTGAATATAATAGAATCAGGGGAATAGAAAGGGAGTGGACTGACTATTCTTGGGCGGGGGAAGGGGTGTGGGGGATGCGGGAAGACACTGGACAAAAAATCGTACACCTATGGATGAGGACAGCTGATGGAGCAGTAAGGGCAGAGGTTGGGGTGGGAACCGGGTAGATGGAGCCATGGGGGGAAAAAAGAGGATCAAATGTAATAATCTGAACAATAAAGATTTAATTAAAAAAAACATACTATAAGTGAAATAATAATCTTTTTTATTAAAAGATTAGAGGCCTGGTGCACAAATTCGTGCACCTGTGTGGTCTGGCCGGGCAGCCCCATTTGGGGCCTTTTGGTCCAGGCCAGCCAGGGGGAGGGGGCATTGGAGGTTGGGTAGCCTGCCTTGCCCCTGATCAGGGTGGTGGTGGGCGATCAGGGGCGGGGCTGTCTGGGGGGGGAAGGACTGCAGGCGGTTGGCCATCTGGCTCTGCCCCCTGGTTGAACTCCTGGTTGAATTGGTCGTGGGGACAATTTGCATATTAGCCTTTTATTATGTAGGATAGGTTTATTATTTATAAGATTGCAAAATACTAAAAAATGTAAGTTACTCCATTTTAAAGGACTTCTTCTCTGTAGTGGTAGTTTTTTGCAATGCTCTATGCCCCAGGTGTGGTCATTTTGCAAGCATACTATATACAGTGGGGCCTTGACTTACGAGTGTCCTGACTAACAAGTTTTTCAAGATACGAGTCGTGTCTCAGCTGATTTTTTGCTTTGAGTTGCAAGCTAAATTTCGGGTTATGAGCCAGCTTCAGATACCCCACTGCAGTTGGCGCAGCGAACGCCACAGTGAACGACACAACATCCGCCCAGCATCACGTGTCTCACTCATTCACTCTAATGATTTGACATACGGGTAATTTGAGTTATGAGCTCCGTCACAGAACAAATTAAACTCATAAGTCAAGGCCCCACTGTATAGTCTTGGCCATAGAGATGTTTGGCTTTAAAAAGGAGGGACACATCCCCCAGATGCAAGAACTCAGTGTGTGAGGATACCCCATAGGAACAAGATGAAAAGGTTTGGGAAAGTGACAAAGGTAGAAGGAGGTATATTGAAGTTAAGAGTATTTCCTGCTCATTCCACTTGGAAGTTACAGCAGCCGAGGATGCCCCTTTAACCAGGGAAAAGTGAGGAGGAGAGACTACAAAAGGGAGACATAAAGTAAGGAATATGGGTGAAGGAATTTTGTTTCTAAGTCTTTCTGGATTACTGTTGATTTTTCAGTATTTAGTACATTGCCTGGTATATAGGTTGTATGGTTGGTAAAAGATTACTAGGGGCTTAATATATAGTAATAATATTAAAAGGAGTGCTTTCACATTTTAAGGAAGAGATGTATGAATTATTTGGGTTTTAATTTCTTGGAATATGTATACATCCCGGGAATATAGTGAGTAGCCATTAAATAATTGATAACATGATGCTACTTCATGGGTGTTTAGTTTTACTTGAAATTGTTGATGAATTGTTTAATGATCAAGGAGCTTTGTACAGAGGGGAATGCTCACTGCCCTTTATACTTTTATAATGCTCACTTTATTTTCCTATCCTATCTAATAAAAGAGAAACATAGTAATTAGTGTACGACTGCTACCCTTCCCATTGGCTAATCGGGGCAATATGCAAATTAACTCCCAGCCAAGATGGCGGCCGGCAGCCAGGCAGCTTAAACTGAACATGAGGCTTGCTTGCTTCAGTGACGGAGGACTGCAACGTTCCCCGACTGCCTTGCCGGCCTCTGAGCTTGCAGTTAAAGAAACACTGTAACAAATATAGAAGATAAATAAAACACCAGAAACCTGCTTTCAGCGAGCCGGGATCTCAGACCTGGAGTTGTACAGTGTTTCGATTATAGAACACAAACAAACCAGATACCTGCTTTCAGCAGCAGAGGCCTCAGAACT